GAAAATCGGCCATGCTGATAACATATAGAAGCAATCACACAAGTTAAAGCATTGACACTTGCTCCCTCCTACTGGCATTACCTGAGACCCGCCCTAGACCCTCTAACCATTAACCTTCAGCAAGTTTTTGTCTTATGTGATGTACTGGCGTCTTTGAAAGGCACATAGAAATGTACGGCCGGCGCCCCCGGGATCTGAAGCCTCATCCTGGAGATACATGAATCTCAAGCACGGAGCTACACATCCCCACCACCCCAACTCCGACTATGAGATAAGTTCAAGCAGTGTGTGTGTGTGTGGATGTGTGTATGTATATATATATATATATAAGTTCGTGTGTGTGTATATATATATGGCTGGTTGTCAACATTAAGGTCCCTTTTGGGGTCCTTATTATATTACGGCACCTATTGTATAGGGTACCCCAAAAGGGACCCTAATTTTGATAACCACCCATATATATATATATATATATATATATATGTATGTATGTATGTATGTATGTATGTATGTATGTATGTTTGTATGTATGTATGTATGTATGTATGTGTGTATGTACGTATGTATATACACACATAGATGTATATCTGTTGCGTTCATTTTTATACATACACATACACGCATGCATGCGTACATACATACAAATGCTCTGCCGCCAGTGCCGCCGACCCAAAATTTTCCCGACGCTGCGGGAGCATGCTGACTTACCTATTGTATGGCCTCTTAGTCAGAGTATGTGTCGAAGTAATTAAGCTGCACGACGCTCGCACGCAAATTTGCTGCCCCTCGCGACAAGCAGGCCCAGTGAAGAACTAAGCTAGCTAATTGTAAACTACTGTAAAGCGCTGAGGAAGTGCACTAGCCATTTAGGGTTTAGGGTTTGGACAAGAAAAGGCCGGGCAGCGTAGAATTAAATGACACAACTACCACTACTCTACACGGTCGCTGGAGAAGAAAAGGGCCAAGGAACCCCCAAAATAGTATATATGGGTAATTACTGTAGATACTGCGATTGGACTAAAAAACCCCGCAGTAGTATGGGTAAGGCTGAGCGGCGGGCACTTAGAAATGCGTTGAGCTGAGTCGAGCTGGATGAGCCGGGTGGGCATTGAGCATACTCTTTGGTGGGCGGATGGCATTTTGAAGGGGTTGGCCATGAGCGGTCTGCGAAGGTGTCCATGTGCATCATAAGTGCGTATCCATGTATCTATGCAAGCCGCCAAGAGTTACTACTCTTGCTCTCGCTCTGAGTCACACTGGATTCTAGAAGGTTCTATGTGGAACAAGCGAGCCACACAAGAGCTGTGCAGTACGCAAATCAGCATGCAATGCGCAACTTCGAGGATCCTGGGTCAGGATAGACGGAGCTGAGGGGGGGGTGGGGGGGGGGGGACAAAACCCGAGCTAGGGAACACAGCTTCTGGGCACCGGTCTGGGCACCGGCCGCGGAAGGGTCGGCGGATACAATACATATTATAGTGCGTGTGTGCATATATATATATATATATACATATATATATATATACATATATATATACATATATATATATACACATATAGAGATGTATATCTATTTCGTCCGTATTTCTTGTACATGCACGTGCATGCATGCAAAATACATACATACATACTTACATATGCTGTGATTGACCGGAACAGAATTGTGGTACCAGAACGCCGAGCGGCCAGATCTCGCCAAATCTGAGAACCGCATTAACTGCCGAAGGCTAGGATCCAGCTCAGACTCAGTATATAGGCCCCAAAACGACTTAAAGCCGGATCTTTCAAGAAGCCCAGGTGCAGCCGACTTGGGGGAGTCGGGTATGCGGCTGGGGCACATATCACATCCATTTCATGGTGTTCCAAGAATTGCACTACTATGCTGCTTTAGTGATGCTACATGTTCTCCTTCAGGCCGTCTTTTGCCTCTGGCCATATATAGTGATTAACTATGACTGTTATGTACTCTCTCATGCGATTCGTCTTATCAAGCTCCGAGTTGAAGACCTACTTCTTCAGGGCTTTTCGGCTACAATGGGAGACAGCGCTCCTTGAGTCTGAAGTCTGTTGGCTGAGGGGGGGGAAGGTGTTTTGCTGAGGATTGATTGTTGAGGGCAGTCAAGCTCGGATACGTGGCTTAAAGGCTGGGGTGCCCCTAGAGAATTTCCAAGAACTGCTGGGGAGCCAAGCTTGTAGTAGATTGGCCTTACTCGTGGATCCTAGAAACTTTCTCCGGAATCTAGTACCGACCCGCAACATTTAACAAGGAACCTGGTTCCCCAAGCCCCTATATAGTCGCACATAATACCTCACCTTCGCTCGTCCAAAACTGAAACTTCCCGAATCCTTCTCATCTTTGTGCTGTTGAGGTTTTGCCAGCCTGTGCTCGTTTCAGCAAAAAACCAGACACCCCCCTTACTGTATTTTATTAGGGGAACCGTGCCCTTTGAAACCCTCCAGATCCACTTGAGACAAGAAGACAAGAAGCACCTTGAAACTCCACAGCAACAATCCCCGAGCCCAACCCTGCAGGCCTTAAGGGACCACTGGACCCACACCTCCAAACCGTCGAAAAAAACCCTCAGCAGAGCCGAGGTGGCGCCTCGTGAAGGGAGCCTCCGCGGAGGCTCCGAGGCTTCCTTCGCTTCTTTCGGATCTCGACCGCCGGAATCGCTTGCAGCGAAGCTACCTCTATCCACCCGCAGTTCAGGCCAGGTCCCACATGACTTGTAAGAGCGTCTGACAGAGGCATCGGCCGATAGGGATGTATGATTTAGACAAACAGGGTTCTGTTCTGCAAGGATCCTCAAACAAGATCTCAGGGCTAAGGAGTTTGCAGGGTTCAGGTCTCAGGGCGGTGCTGGGATTGCTGGTTTGGTACAGGGCTGCATGTGCTCCCGTGATTAAGGCTCCAGGTGTTTGTTTTGTGCCCATGTGGGGCAGATGTCGGATTTTGGCAGAAGTCGTCTGGGAGCTGAGAGGACAAATTTGTGGCTTCTTAGTCTCGGATGCATTCGGGGTTCAGCGAGCTTCATGCTCGCTGTTGTCCGGAGCAAACTGCGACAGTGTCCGAAACACTCCTCCGACATAAAGCTTGAAAGGAAGGGCTTTAAGATACTTCAGCACCTGAATGCATTACGACGTGAAATGTTGTTGAACATCGGAGGTTGACTGCCCCCAGCCTGGCTGCGTGGGCTTGGGCTACCTGGGCTTCGACATGGTGATGTGCTTCATCTGCGAGCACCAGTGGGACGCGACCGAGGGAATCCTCGGGGAGGAGACGGAGCTGCCGGATGGAGAGGAGGCAGGGCGACCAATCTCAGACTGCCGACTTCCGGAATCCGTTCTGCGAGATGCCTCTACCCCCAAAAATGACTCCAAATAGTCGCTGCGTCAGTGCATCATGGCATGGCCGCAGGTGGCAGAAGTCTCCGTCGCCGGGGTTCGGGTCAAGAGGTGCCCCAACTGCCACGAGTACATCGAGACTGGGCCTCTATAGGGTTTCATGTATGGGGCCCCCAAGCTGGATCACAGGAAATGGAGGCGTTAAGGGTCTAGTGGGGAACCCAGGAGAAGAACGGTGGCTGCGACCACATGACCTGCCGCTGCCGCCACGAGTTCTCCTGGGCCACGCTGAAGCCCTGGAAACCTATCCGCTGACATTTCTCATCAGCGAACCCTAAACTTTCCTGAAGCCGAACCCTAAACCTCAGACCCTCTTATATAGATTTTGGCTGGCAGCCGAAGGGTTGCCAGGAGACCAACCCAGGGAAATGAGGTTACACTTAAACTTAGAATCAAAGTTTCATAAACCAATGCATCGTGGTATCGAACCCCCTGGAAAGTCCCCTGGAGCCCGCGGAGCCGATCCTTGCGACCCTCAACCCGGGGCATTTCTTCGCCCTTGACCTGTACAGGCCAAAGAGGCATGGTCGAGAGTTGAGGGCTTTTCGGGAGGAGATGGAGCACTCCTGATCGGACATGTACAGGCAAAGTGGGTAATCGAGCCCCAAAAGGACAGCTCGCACGCTTTAAGCCTGTGGCGTTTTGCATCTTGACCGCTACTCATAGTTCAAAACGTTTTGTCTCAAGTCCCACAGTCAGACGGAGGTGAGGTTCGTTTTTCATGGGCATGTGTTTTTGACGGTTATTGCCCTAAGGCCTCTCTCAGAATGTCGATGGATGCAGGAGTGTCCAAAACCCTTGTGATATCCGCAATGCGACGAAGATCTCACGTGGCCGTTCAACTCCTCAGATGGCGTTTACTGGGTGATCTACAATTAGAATCCTCAATGTAGTGGATTCATGCCAAGTTCATGTGGAAGCTTCTTCATAGAGCTTAAAAGCTCGTATGCTTGTGACGAGAATGGCCACTTGCACAAGGCGCGGACGGGCCGGTAGGTGCCGCATTGCGTTTATGACCGTGTATCCTGCCACTGCGCACGCGAATGCGCAGGGCTCCCGCAAAACTCGTTTTTGAGGTCATGATCTCGTAAAACGCCCAGCGTTGGGAGTTCGCGTGGGGGGGGTACACTGACTCATGCAAGATCATCGGCACTTTGCCGGATTCACGCAAGTGAGGGGTACGAGCAGTTCAATCGGCAAAATCAGTCGTAAAGCAACGAATGTTATGTGGGTCACACACGGGCATACCGTTGCAGTCTTGTTCGATGCAAGGCTTGCGCATGCACGCGTTGCTTCAACTTCCAGTGTGTATGTTTGCATGAAGTTTGCTGCATGTTTTGTGAAGTGGTCGGGAGGCAAGGTGATTTTTTAGAAAGCCATATTCGGGCAGTTGAAAGTTTGGCTACATCCCGTAAACACGTGGTTTGGCAAGACATAGAACAAACAATCCATAGCGTCCTTCTTTGCATGCACCATTTGTTCTAACAAGCACAGGACATGTCTTCACCATAAGTACTCTGCAAGCTGTCGGACGTCAACTTCTGTGCATGCTATGCTTGGCACCGCTACCAAGTTTTGGAGTCTGCGCCAAAGCCATGGCAGCTTGCTATGCTGACCATGGCCTCGCGCGATTTCAAGAGTTGGCCAAGGCCCGTGTGAATCCTTCTTATGAAAGCCTCCAACTCAATGCATGTGTCTACGACGATGTCCAGGAGAATCGTCGTGGAGTTGTAAAGTTCACGCGTTTTTCGGGGTTTAGTTTCGTGCTCAGACTTTAGGGACTTTAGGGGTTTGTCCATGCCATGCAGCTTTACGTTGAGCGATGCATGCTTTACTGTATGCACCTGCACACCTGCACACCTATCGCCTTGTCAAATGGGCAACGCGGACAGAGCCTTGCAGTGCGGAGTTCGTTTTTCGTTTCGGGCTGTCACCTATGGCGCAGGTAAACCACGTTCAGCTTCCTGACGACATGGATCTGCTTCTCCCTTTTCTTTCGGCAATGGGCCCGGAAGAAGCTCTCCTGCACTTCGTGGACTCGGGCAGAGGTGGGACAAGGGGTTCATTGTGTGTGGTAGACTCGGGACTTCAGTGGAATCTTTGCGTGCATTGTGTAGTATAGTTGAGTTTACAATACTACGGTACAGTATAGTATAGTTTGAAGTAACCATGCGACATGTATACATGTATATATATATATATAGCTCACCCCCCCCCCGGTGACAGACCACGGGTCTAAAAAACACCGTGCACAACGATATTCTGTGAAGCAAAACCGTTACATGAGGTATATAGTATAGCACCAGACGTGCGGCACATGAGTTACGTAATAGTCTTGTGGTAGTATCGGTATTAGGGTGAGTATTGTTATTAATATTAGTACTATTGCTTGCTGTAAGTATACGTATCAATATTGCCAACTATAAATTAGTGTTAGTGCTCATGTTCGTGTTAGAGTTAGCGCTAGTGCCAGTGTCAATGTCAGTAATACAGCACCACTGCTACGAGTAGTATCAGTATCAGTCTTAATGCTGGGTTTAACAGCAGCTTATATTCGCAGAAGTGCTAGTATTAGTATCAATATTAGAACTAGTTAGTTTTGATATGTTAGTATATTGATAGTCTCGTATATTAGCAGATTAGTATATCAATACATCAATGTATTCGGACAGCAAAATATTTGCATACTTGTATACTAGTATATTTTACATGTTAGTACAACTGGTGCATGACTACACTACTATACTGCTGTATTAGCTTACTAGTATATTGACATACCAGTATATTCGTACGTTAGCATATTAGTGTACGAATATGTGTACTATATTACTGTTTTATCTAATCATGTATAAGTATATCAGTATGTTGGCATATTAGTATACGAACTTGTCATGTCGGTATTCTTGCATAGTGCAGTAGCCGTATATGATTATAGTCACATATTCGTATAGTATATTCATACAACAACGAGAAGTATATTGATACATTGGTATATGGTTATATGCCTATGCCAAAGCATTAATACATGAATGCACTGATGTATATATCTGTATCTTAAGATAGTGGTACGTATTTTATGTACATGAGTATATGCAGGTGTCTATTAGTAATGGTATTAGTTTTCATATCAATATGAATATACTATTGGTATTCGTAGGAGTATTAATGTCAATACTAGTAGAAGTAGGACTATTTATACTCGTAATAGCCATAATATGAGTGTTCATGCTGGTAATACTAGTGGCATTCTTGAATATGCAGCAGATTATCAAAGTCCGTATTAGTGTTGGTGATAGCACTACTGTTAACGCACAAGGGTTTACGTATTCGTATTCGTAGGAGTATAAATAGCTATGTAAATATTGATGTTAGTATAGATTTTGTGTTAAGTATTAGCAGTAGTGTTAGCGTTAGTACTATCATATTATTGATGATATACATTCGAAAGAATGTTTGTATTGTTATTACTCTTGACCACGTGAAATTCTAACAGTTGAATTCATGAGTGAGTTAAAGGATTTGTATTTTAATATGGTGGTATGCATGTTTATGTACATTAGTACATACAGGTGTGTGTTAGTATTGGTATTATTATACATTATTATCAATATGAATATGGTTATTGATATGCGTAGGAGTACTAAGAGCAATACTAATCAATCTTAGTATTTGTGTTATGCATATTCGTACTAAGCTTTATAGAAGTGTAATATTAGTAGTAATGCTGGTATTAGCTTGAGCATTCAACAAATGATCAATGTCAGTATGTTCAATGGCAATACTATATGTAGGAGTATCAATACATATATGTATATATAGATATACAGATAGATAGAGAGATATTCGTGTAAATATGGGCATGAGTATTGACAGCCCTTGCCTTTGCAAGTAATCTGGTCCGATGCGGAGACTAGCACGACAAGGCGCGCGGGTGTCCTACCAAGAAAGGAATTACAGAGCACACGTGTATGGATGAGGGTTGTGCTGATACACTACATAGTAAGCACTACACAGTAATCTTACTTGAGTCATATATAGAACAGATTCCAGCATTTCCAAAATTTCCAAAATTTCCAAAATTCTCTCCCCTAACTTTCCGCATTTCCAAAATTTCCAAAATTTCCGAAATTTCCAAAATTTCCAAAATTTCCAAAATTTCCCGACCTAGTCGACAGGATTTTTCCAAAACATAAGGGCGGACTTTTTGGAAATTTTGGAAATTTTGGAAATTTTGGAAATTTCGGAAATTTCGGAAATTTTGGAAATTTTGGAAATTTTGGAAATCCGGAAAGTTAGGGGAGAGAATTTTGGAAATTTTGGAATTGAGGCTTTGAAAGCTGAGTGCCCCCTCCCCCCGATCACAAACCATGCACTACGACTGAGTCGAAAGGGCATGGTCTGTCATGGGGGGGGGGGTGACCATATATTTATATTTATATTTGCATATATATATATATATATATATATTTATCATCCATCTGTATTCACATCAGCTGTATCTAGATTTCTATCTGTATCTATATCCATATATATATATATATATATATATATATATACATACACCTGCTACCTGCCTCGACCTCTTATTATTAGGCGTCTCGGAATAACCAGGTTTTAGGAGGTCGTGTATAGGAAACCCTCGAGAAATACGAGCGTGTTGGTTTTGGGTGGTTTTGGGTGAACTGGCTTAAAATCGTTAGGGGTCTAGATTTGTTGTAGGGAAGGGTTGATATTTATATCTGTGTTTCTATTTATATGTATATGTATCTGTATCTACATCTATATCCATATCTATATCTATTTCTGTATCTTGATCTGTATCTGTAATCATCTGTACCTGTACTTGTGCCTGTAGATATAACTATATCTATGTTTATGTTTATATATGTTTTCATACCTGTATCTGTATCTTTATAAGTACACATGTGCACATCTATTTTTATGCCTTTGTCTATGATCTAGCTAAATTTGTATTTGTAGCTGTATCTGTATCTCTGTTTGTATCTGTGGCTGTATCTGTACCTACCCCGTTCGAAAACATGAGTTGTTATGCATATATATATATATATATATGAGAGAGAGAGATATGTCATATGACCGGACCACGAAAAGCCTTGGTACTCTGATTTAGTCGCAATAAACTTCGTTTGTTGTGCCAGTGCTCCGTTTCCCTGCAGGGCTGTTTTCTATGACCTTGTCATGTTCGCGTTAATTATGGTAAGAGCTGAAGACGCACGTCAAGATTGCACCCGACGGTTCCCAAGTTATTGGAAGCACATGGTTGATCGTAGGGCTCGCGAAAACATCAGAACATCGGTCCCACTGTGTAGCACGACTATAGATGTAGAAGTAGCAGCATCAGTAGAAGGACACATAGTCGTTGTCAAAGCAGCCAAAGAACGGTCAAAATGAAGTGCATGGAACAGAGCACACAGAGTCTGCAGGAGATCCGGATGACGAGGATGGTCCGTTGGCGGCAAATTCCAACAGTGCTCCGATTTCTGCAACAATCCTCGGGATGCCACAGGCAGCGTTCGGACCTCAAATAGAGTAACGAGTGAAGAGTGCAGTAAGAAACAGTTCGGTGATCCCAGCAGATTCAACAAATCGGATTTTGACTTGTAGCGAATTGAGTCTGAACACGAATCCCCAATCCAAGACCCCCATGTTGAGCAGGCAGTTTCTGGAGAGCTGAACGGTTCGGAGCAGGCTGCAATCGACGATGCGATGATGTCCTCCAGTTTGAGCGCGCAAGAGGAGAGACCAAGCTTTGTGTTGGGTGTCTGTTTTTTTGCGGCAGGCCCAGGCCCACCAAGAGAGGCATAGCAAGGCCCCCAAAAGGGTTCAGTGCCGAGGAAAGTCAAGAAGTTCCGTTCGGAGATGAGCAGCGCTGGGCCGTGGTCTGAGGCACAGCCGCTGGTCATGCAGATTTCGACCGAGAGCGAAGAGCAGAACATCTATTCCGGTCAATTATATGTGTTTCAATTCAGGGTGGAATCAGCTGGCCCGTTGTCCCTCGAGATTCGCAGCGATGGCCCCGAGTTGCGGGTCCAGCCTTCATCTATCAGCTTCGATGCTTCCGAGAACGTGCCGGTGTACGTGTCGATCTCGGTGTATGCACCCTCCCGAGAACTCTCAGGCACGCGGATTGTGACGCTCCAAGGAGGTGAGTGGAAGCGGAGCCTTCGGGTGCGATTTCAAGCGCTGCCAGGTGTGGCGCAGCTTCTGCTGCATGACGAACTCCGAGCACCAGCTGGGCCGTGGCCGTTGTTGCGGTGGAGCGACAGCGGTGCACCGCAACTTGTAGAGTCAACACTCCGCAAGTTAGAAGAGCTTCCCCCCCGGCCGGTCGCGGTCATCTCGATTGTTGGGGCATACCGACAAGGAAAATCACACTTGCTGAACCAACTGGCAAACGTTGTGGGTATGGGCTTTGACCTCGGCCATACGACACAAGGCCACACAGAAGGCTTTGATTGCATCCTCATGCGCCACTGGGAGAAGGATGAGTACGTCTTGATTCTCGACACGGAAGGCACCGAGGATGTGGCAAAAAATGAGAAGCGAAGCACAGACATTCTGGTTCTGGCATGGCTGCTATCCTCCACAGTGGTATACAACACCCTGCATGTGCCACAAAGACAGACTCGCGTCGATAAAGCAGGTGAGTTTCGACCCTACTATTCTTGCTGCAATCTTCCATGAATCCCTGTGCGAAGTCTGACACAAGAATGAACAGAAGTACGCAAAGTCGACCAATGAAAATGCAAGTACGGAAGTTATAAAACCGTGTAAGCCCCGAACCCCAAGCCCGAGGAGCGCAGACATCCTCCAGGCTGCCACACTCCTGGCACACCAGGCGCGGGGGGGCCGATTGCGAGGGCGAAAGTGCCGCCAAAATTGGGTATTTTGGCTTTGCATAGATTGCTATTGCAGTTTAGGTGTTAAACTTTGGGGTCGATTGGGTTTAGACTAGTACGAGTAGTAGTAGCAGTAGTAGTAGTAGTAGTAGTAGTAGTAGTAGTAGTAGTAGTAGTAGTAGTAATAGTCGTAGTCGTAGTCGTAGTCGTAGTCGTAGTCGTAGTCGTAGTAGTCGTCGTAGTAGTAGTCGTAGTAGTAGTAGTAGTAGTAGTAGTAGTAGTAGTAGTAGTAGTAGTAGTAGTAGTAGTAGTAGTAGTAGTAGTAGTGTAGTAGTAGTAGTAGTAGTAGTAGTAGTAGTAGTAGTAGTAGTGGTGGTAGTAGTAGTTGTTGTAGTAGTTGTAGCCGTAGGCGTAGGGTAGAATAGTTTTACACGTTTGGGGGGTATGTGAGTATGCGGTGCTGGCCCAACAGGTGCAGAGTTCGATGGAACGAGATGAGGAAACAGGCGAGCTGTTGGGTCTATTTTGGGTTTATGTATAGCATGGCAGATGCGCACCCTTACCAAGAAGACCCCAACCCCCCAAAAGTTGCAGGAGATTCCGAAATTTCCTACATTAAGACATCGGTGTATGGGGCTCTGTGGATACTTAGGTCTGCAGGCTTGGCGGGTCTTGGGTAGACGAAGCCACCAGATCAAAGCTCGAAGTGCAAAAAAAGTCGCATCTCGCGAGGTGAGACGGGGAGCTATCCATCGCTGACCTGGGTGGTTCGCGATTGGGCTCTTGAGCTACCCGATGGACAGGCCCTGGGTTAAGTCCAACCTCCAAAATATGAAGTGATTTGGATAACATCCACGGGTAGGGCGACATTTCCCTGATAAGTCAGAAGCCTCGAAGATGGCTGTCAAGCCTCCCTGAGCCTGAAACCCTAAACTGCGGAAACATCCAAGACCTGATAAGCCCTAAGCCGTGGACTCTGGGCTTTAGTGGCTTATTTAGGGAGTTCAATGGTCTATAACAAGGCCTTCAACAATAAGCAAAACCCCAAGAAAGCACCGATTAGAATGGATCATACAGCAGATCCTTAAACCAGCAAGCGAAAACAGCAACAAAAATCTCGAGGATCTCCAGAGCTACCTGGAGGGCCTCTTGCCTTCCCGGGGCATCTCCAGGAAGACCAAGGAGGCCCGGAGGACTGCGGAGGAGGGCGTCGACCAGCTTGAGAAGCCGGGCTCTTGTTCAGGAATTTGTGTAGCATCCCTGTTCAAAGGAGCTTTGGTTCACATCACCCTAATGTAATAAGCAAAGCATAGTATTGCAGGTACATCCCTCTTGTGATAAGCCCAAAACACAAGGTCATCAACAGCATCCCAGGAAGCTCTTCCCGCGGCGCCAAATGCTCACTGTGATCCGTCCCGTCGCTGACGAGGTCAAGACTCCAATGCCCACATCCATGCTCTCGATATTAAGATAGTGTGTTCGTATATATATATATATAATTATATATATATATATATATATATATATATCTCTTTTATACGTACACACGATGCACATACATATGTATTCCTGTAGGATTGGGTAAGGAATCGCCGTAGCTCGAAAAGCTTGTTGCAACATAGCAGGTACATTAAATGAGCTTGCAATCACAACGAGCAAGGGCAGTTGTTTTTTGGGATTTCTCTGGGGAGGCGGACCTGCAGCGCTTGGAGAGCCCAGAGGTGCAGCGCAGGGTCCGGCCGCAGTTCACGCAGCAAATCTCCGAGGCCCCTGGGGAGTTTAGGGTTTACATGGCTGCTGGATTCTAGGGTTCATGTAGTATGTAGGCTTCTATATACCCAAGGAGTAAGATTTCAAGGCCGGTAAGACCGTTCATAATTATGCAAGCTGTATAAAGCCATTTGGATTTACGGCATTAGGGGGCTAATAGGGGTTTATGGGCCAGTTGCTGTGAAGGTTGACGGGTACGGTTCCAAGGTTTCCAGCTTTGGATCGTGCATACCGCGAAACCTATAAAACGCCACGTGAAAGTTGCTCATTTGCAAGGCCTGCAATGCAATTCGTTCCCAAAGCCGTGCCAAGTGCGTCGGAGGGACTACGTTGCAAACGGGTGCAGTGACTAGGATGCCCTTTGGCAGCTTTGTTGATTTTTCCTTTGTAGACGGTTGCCTTTTTTCGTACGTGAACAAGTAACCTAATCCGATGTGAGAAAGGTGATGACGCAGTACATGAGGGAGGTGGTGCAAGCTGTGAAATCAGGCGAGAATCTCATCATTGAAAGCGCTTGGGCAAGAGTTCAAGAAGCTCTCGCAGAGAAGGCCCTGTGCGCAGCGAGCAAACTCTTTGACGAACTCCTTCGTACTGGCTTGGACAGCCTGAAAGCACAGATTCAGCGGAGCCATCTAGTGGCCCAGTACTGCAGCCGCAGCGATTGTGTGCCGCTGGAAGAGGAAGAGATGGAGCGTATCGTTGAGGAAGCTTCGGAGAAAGCACGGGCCAAACTGGCGGGGCTCGCTCACGGATGTGAGCCAACTCGTCGGCACGGCACGGAGGTGGCACTGCAGCAGCATGCTATCCAAGAGCTCAAGCAGCTGAAGAGCGAGAATCGTGAGCTGTCAGAGACATACTGCAGCCTCGTGGCTGAAAACGTTTGCATGCTGCTACACTCAGAGGTGTCGAGCTCAAGCGGTACAGATTTGGGACTCCAGGACTTGCTGAAAATCGCCGTGGACGAGTACGGCTCCAGTGCTAGGGGACCTGCAAAATGCAGGGTGGGCCACAGGCACATGGAACGCATGAGTCGAGAGGCGGCTTGCTTCAACTCCAGAACTCTTGGATTCCCCAGCTTGGGGTTCCTCTACACTCGACACCCTGATAAAGAACTGCAAAAAACATACCGCACTCTCTACAAAAAACAAGCCCTGAATCGCAGTTTGAGGCTCAGGGCTCCCTCTGTGAAAAGCTTCATGCCCGCGCCCAGGTGGGTCTTCGCCAAGATGCTCGAGAGCAGTTGCGCATGCAGCAGGAGGAGTCCCAGCATCTGATGCTGCTGCAGGAGGCCCAGCATCTGGAGGACTTGGAGAAGAAGGACCGGTCAAGCGACAAAGCCAAACCGCGACGAAACTGTGGGTTGTGTTCGTTGCTTCTGTTTCAACGTGCATGCCGGGGGGAAGATGTTCGGCATCATCCGATGCAAGGAACAGGTACTTGTGAGATTCGAGAGGTTTGCTCCCTCCTTGTTAAAGACTCTAGCCCAGTTCGAGAGGTTTGCCGCCTGTTTCTCAACAAATCTCGTCACTCTCGAACGGTTTGCGCCTTGATTCTCAAATACTTTAGTCCCTTTCGAGCGGTTTGCCCCTTGCTTCTCAAAGACCGGCGCACTTCTTGTTCTTCAAAATGCTCCAAGCCCTTGCGAGCCGTTTTCTCCTTGCTTCTCAAAATTTTTCTAGTCCCTCAAGAACGATATGCTTCCTGTTTCTCAGGTACCCTTAGTCCCTTTCGAGCGGTATGCTCCCTGTTGTTTTCAAGCGGGTTGCTCTCCGTTTCTCAAATTATCCAGTCCCTTTCGAGCTTTGCTTCATGTATCCCAAGTACTTATTTTCGAGCGGTTGGCTCCCGCAGTTTCTGACACATGCTAGGCCTTCTCGAACGGTCTGCTGCCGGTTTCGTGAATACTCCAGTCACCTTCGAGCGGTTCGCTCGCTATTTACATTATCTAGTCTTTGGAGCGGTGTCTCCAGCGGCTTGTTTCCTGTTTCTCAAATACTCAAGTTCCTTTCGAGCGGCGTTCTCCCTGATACTCGAAGGCTCTATAGCCCTTTCAAACGGTTTGCTCCCTGCGTGGCAGTCCCCTTCGAGCACTGTGCTCATTGCTTTGTCCATACTCTAGTCTTTCTCGAGCGGTTTGCTCCTTATGTCTCGAGTACGTCCTTTCGAGCGGCGTGCTCCTTGTTTCTCAACTACTCTATTCCCTTTCGAGCGGTTTGCTCTCTGTTCCTCAAACACTCTAGAGTGGTTGGCTTTCTCTTCTTCAATTCCCTAACACCCTTTCGACCGGCTTTCTCCTCGTTTTTCTGATATACTTTAGTCCCCTGCGAGCGGTTTGCTCCACATGTCTCAGTTACAGCAATCCCTTTCGACCGGTCTGCTCATTGTTTCTCGAAGGCCCTTGGCTTTTTCGCACGGCTTACTCCATGTTTCTCAAACGCTCTCGCTTCTCTCCCTGTTTGGAAAATCCTCGAGCCCTTGTCGCCCTCTCAAACCTTTTGGAGAAGTTCACTCCATGTTTCTGGAATTCTCTAGTCCCTTACTAAGGGTGTGCTTATCGTTTCCCAAGTACTCCAGTCCCGCTGTCGGACGTTAGCTCCCGGTTTCTCAAACAGTCTAGTCCCTTTCCGAAGCGGATTGCTCAGTGTTTCTCCAATACTCTAGTCCTTTTGGAGCGGTTCACTCCCTGTTCCTCAACTACTTTACTCTGGTCCTTTTCGAGCGGATCTCTCCCTGTTTCTCAAGTGCCTTTCGAGCGATGTTCGCCCTGCCTCTCAACATCTCTAGTACCTTTTTCTAGCTTTGCCCCTTGTTTCTCTCTAATATAGCCGAGTTTCTTTCGAGCTTTTGGCTCCTTGTTCTTCAAACCCCACCTGGCCGTCGCGCACTGACCTGGCGGCCCTGTGCCCATTGTTTGGCTCATTGTCAGGTCCTTTCTGGTGCACAGGGCCGAAAGCTGATGATAATTTAAAGATCAAGATGAGTATACCGAGCAAGTGAGATTCAAGCTTCGTGTCATGGTGAACCTGAAGCTTTAAAATCCGGGCCGCACGGCGAACGGCACTGTCTGATGAACAAAAACCCCGAAGATTCGAGACTTCTGAATCTAAAGGCGGATTCTTGACTCTGCCCTGCAACGATGTCTTTGCAGGAGCTAGCACAACGGGATGCAAATTGGCAGTTGCTGCAGGTGCCCGGCTTGCAGCTAGCGGTGACTAGCTTCGAGCTTCCGGTGTTAGGGGTTTTGAGAGAATGACAGCGCATGGATGTCGTGATGTCGCTGATGCCGCCAAAGCTCATCACATCCAGCCTTGCTGGTCAGCGCTGCGCCGCAAAACCTGCAAATAGCTCTACGAATCATATGTGCCCGGCAAAACCTGAAGCGTCCGGGTTAGAGGATGCAAATGTGCGTTGCCCCTTACCCCCTGCTCTCTTCTATTCCCTCCTCCCCGCTTCCTACCCTAAACCACACAGAGTCCGAAATCGTGCTTGCATACTTGAGATCCCTACCCAGGGCCCCCAAAGCAGTTCCTTTTTGGGGTGTGTCCTCTTTTTTGGTTAGGGACTTTAATATACTAAAGAGGAACCTATAAACCCTATAAACCCGTAAACCCCTAAACCCTAAACCCCTGAACCCTAAACCCTCTTGAGATCCCTAAGTAAGCACCTCCTTTGCTGATGCTCCCGGGCTCCCCTGGGTAGCGACCGCGTGAGGTCGAGGCCCAACTCCAGGAGGCCTCCGAGACATTGCAGCGCCTGGCTCAGGAGCTTTTTAGGGTTTAGGGTTTACCTTAACCCTGAATTTCGCCTACCTTTTTAGGGATCCTTATTATGATTTCCTTGTATAAGTCCTCAAAAAGGTAGGCTCTTCCGGGTTAAGGTAGGGTTTAGGCATGCAGATGGCCTGGAGGGAGGGAGGGGTCCTGTCCTACAGTTACAGTGTTCGGTCTCCAGGTTCCCAGTTTCCGGCTTCTTCTTTTTTGAACTCCCGCAGTGCCAGGGGTCCCCGGCATGGTTCGGGTTTCTTAGGGCTGACAAGTCACGGACCTGAAGAAGCCTAAACGAGTTTTGGAAGAACTGGAGTTCAGGAGGAATCGAAAGATCGAACTTCTTCGGATCAAAGAGAAGTTCATGCAGTTGAGAAGTGCTACCGGTTAGGACACTTCCAGGCCCGCAGTCACATGCCTTAGCAGGCTAAGATTGAAAAGCACGCTAGTATGGAAGACTTACCTGTGGAAATGTGTAAGCATTCTCCGGTCTCTGAAGAAGACCGACGGAAAATTCGAGTCTTGCGAAAGCTCTATCTCCGCCCTTGGCTGCTCTGTCCCAAAAGGAGTCGGAGTCCCAGCAACGGCGGTGGCTGAGGAGATTCGAGCAACTCGCCCAGGAGCCTGCGAAGCGATTTGAAGTCCACCAAGCCTGGAAGATTTGGAATTTAAATGTCTCAGGTGTCGGGGAAGCAGACAAATGCTTGGGGGCTTCGAATCCATGGTCAGTTTCGTGCCTCAGCTTCCCATTATCTCTTGCAGGACCAAGAGCAGAACCAGGGCGCTCTCAGACGACAGCACGAGCAGCAACAACGGGAGTTGGCCCGGCAGCAGGAGGACCCTGCTTTTCAGCAAGACGACCTGAAGACCTTCTATGATCCCCAGTACCATAATACCATATATAATACCCTTGCCTGATCCTATGAGCCCTAAACCTTGAACTCTAGCTGAACCCAGAGCCTCAGACGCCCTTCTATGTACTCCAAGGCAGGCTTTGCAACTTGAACTTCATGACTGAGGGGGATCCAGCCAAATCTGGTTCACTGTTGAAATCGCGGGTCACGAAAGTGAACTCTTCTCGCAAAAGCCGATAGATTAAATTCTCGGAGGTTGCAGGGTAACGCGAGGTGTCTTGGGCTTCAAAGTCCGTTCGGGGCTTTATGCGATAGGGCTCGACGTACCGTATGAACCCTTTAAACCTGGGCGACATCGCAAACATCCCCAGGACATGCGCCGGCGCGTGGAGCGCTTGAAGCACGAACAGGGAGCCAAAGAACGTCAGATCAAAGATCTTTCGGCCGAGGTTACACGCTTGGCTAATCGTCCTGCAGAAGTTATCGAGCGGAGGTCAACTTGCTCACTGATGTGACACTGTGGCCTGAGGGATGCTCCGGTGCTAGTAGCACGGATGCCACGTGGAGACCGGTCTCCTTGGCGCCAGTCGATGGAGGCTGCATCGCAGCAACTTGTGCCGAAACTTCTGCGCGCAAGGCCTTTCCAACCCTGGCGTCGTATAATCGTACAATTCATCATGCAAGAGGACACTTGATGAGTGTGCTCCGAAATTCGATGGGACGAAGCCCAGCCCGAAGACCCGAAACCTTCGGGCACCCCAGAAGCCCTTCAACGGACCGAACATTGGTAACATCCATATTCTGATGATAGCTCGAAGTCTAAGTCGCAATGCTTGCCTGGGCGACCCTGAGCACCTGCCTCAGGGGGTTTTAGCAGACATGTTCCTGAACCCAAGAGAAATGGCTAACGTCATTTATGCCTGCATCGTGCTGAACGCGTGCCCACTGGAAGATGCCGTCAGCTGAGTGGAGGATCAGCGATTGGATTGATCGACGCAGCATTTGGCTCCCATGGTATCCCGCACTCATGCTGCACGAACGGAAGCAGGGCCTCTGCCTGGCTCTTACATTTCGCAAGGTGCAAACTGGCTACAAACCCTGGACCCTTAAACAGGAAGTCCGAGAAACTCATCCGGTGGTCCACGGCATCTACAATTCCAATTTTCCCCCCATGCCCTGACCTCTAAGGCAGCACGACCTGACGATCTTAAGACATTGAAAACCTTGTCCCGAGACCCTGAACCCCAAGCCCGAAACCGCCAAAGCCCCCAACTCCCGGCCAGTGGCAGCTTTTCGCCAATTTCAGCATGGCAAGGTCCGAAGCCTTGGTCCTTGGTGGTTTATAGCGTTTATAATAATACTACTAATAATAATAATATTAATAATAATAATAATAACAATACCAAATCACAATAATACTAATAATAATAATACTAATAATAAAACTAATAATAATACAATAATAATAATAATAATAATAATAATAATAATAAATAATAATAATAAGTAGTAGTAGTAATAAATATAATCGTAATAATAATACTAATAATAATCATAATAATCATAATAATAATACTAATATAAACAGCATTAATAATTATAATGATAATAGGGTCTTGTATCTTTCCACCGTAAGCCACGGAAAAGCAGCGATCTGTCGCAATACAACATCTTGGTGGGGATATTGCATGTTCCGCTCTTAGTAACTTGAAATTAGTATGTAGTAGTATCCCATCAGCATTGTAATCGTCATGGTGTTTACTAACTATAGTATCATTCTTGGAATGGTTACCACTGCGCTTATGGGCTATCATCATAGTCGTATTTTAAGTATAACTGTAACCATATATAAGTCCAAGACCTGGTTAGTACTATGGTGGTGGTGATCGTCGTCGCAGCAGTGGCAGTAGAAGTACCGGTAGTGGTAGCAGTAGCAGTAGGCGTCGGGGTAGGAGAAGGAGTTGGAGTTGGAGTGAGTAGGAGCAAGTACGAGTAGGGGTAGGGGTAGCCGTAGGAGTAGCAGTAGCAGTAGGAGTAGTAGTAGCATCAGCAGGAGGAGCAGGAGTAGGAGCAGGAATAAGAGTAATAGCAGCAGTAGCAGTACGAGTAGGAAGACACTCTGCATCGCCAAGGATTTCAATCAACCGAAGCCTGAAGCAGGAGCGACCGAAATCACACAACGCAAAGACTGGTGCAGCACGGGACCATCAAACCGCAGGGCATTCTCGAGCAGATGGGCGCCCGGCTACCACAGGCCTTTAGCAGAAGGGTCGCTAGAGTGACATGTGATTTTGTCCCCGCGTTCTTGTTGCAGAGCGTGACGCGGGGGTTGGCTCTGGCGATCCAGCGGACGCGTGCATGTCCATGGTTCGCTTGAAGGGGTGTGTTGCGTGTGCTGTGCGCTGCGATACTCCGCCGCAGCAGTTGTGGGAACCGTGCTGTGATTAGAGTGTGATTCTGATCCGGCATGTCGGCCTGCAAGAGCGTGCCTTTGATCCGGCCGGTGAAGGCGCCAGAGCCGCAGTTCGTCGTGGTGCAGGAAGGTGTCGAGTTCCTCCGTAGCTTGGAGGGCCCTCTTTACGTCGTGTCAGTGGTAGGTGTGATGCGGCAGGGAAAGAGCTTTATCCTTGGCCTCCTGGCGGGTGGCCCCGGCATATTTCGCTTAGGCCATCAAACGAAATCCTGCACGGAGGGGGTGGATGTCTTCGCTCGCCCTCATCCCTCTGGACGCGGGCACCTGGTATTCTTGGATGTGGAGGGCCAGGGATCACCCGATCGGAACGACACATACGATGCTGCTCTGACCACCGTCGCCATGCTGCTGTCGTCCATGGTGGTCTACAACTGCCTGTCTGTAGGGACATCCGCAGATGTGGACAAGTTGGAGCTCTTGAGCGGCTTCATGCAGAACATCTTCGATCGCACGTCTGAGGAGCACGGAGAGTGCGAGGCAGCTGGCAGCGACAGGTACTGTCCCGCATTGATGTGGCTTCTGCGCGACTTCTTCTTGGAGATGGTGGATGCAAGCGAGAGGCCCTGCGATGCTGACACCTACCTGGAGGAAGTGCTCCTGGCACCAGTGTCCGGGGCGAGCAGAGCGGCCAAGGACAAGAACCGGAAGTTGAACGACATCAAGCAGGTCCTGCAGAAACGGTGCTTGCGCACCTTGCCCAGGTGCCCTGCGAGTGTCAGATGTCGTTTTTTGAAATTTTGTTTTTAATGCAGCGCAGCTTTGTGAAAACGTGGTGGCAGTTTGCAAAGCCATGTTTCACATCGAGCGAATTGCAGGCCTGTCGACGACGAGAATTTCAGGCAGCTCGAGATTGACGGCTTAGATGGTCACGGGGTTCGACCAGAGTTTCGTGACCAGGTGAAGCGGATCATCCAAGAAATCTTGGAGACGGTGCAGCGGAAGCGCTTCGATGGCGGGGAGCTCAGTGGTGCTGCTTTGGCAGAGTTGGCCGGGCACCTCACGCTTACTCTCAAGGATGGCGTTCCGGAGGTGGCCTCTGCCTGGCACCAGGTGTGCCTGGCACAGACAAGGATGGCACTGCAAAGGGCTTCCGACAGCTTCCAGCAGAGCATGCGCACGGCCCAGGAGGCAATCGAAGCGTCAGGCCGCCAGAAGCGGCACACGGCCTTGAGGCCCCCGATGTCTTCACACCTCTTGAAGCAGACACTCATAGATGCCACGGCGGCGGCTCGGAGCGCTTATTTTGCTACGGCCTTCCAGACGGATGAGGAGCAGGTAGCGGCCTTATCCTGTTTACAGAGCAGTGTGGTTTTGCTTCTATCTTATTCCTGTTTACAGCGCTTGCTGTGGGTTATTGTTTCTATCTTATGTACAGGGGTTGCTGTGTGGCATTGTCCCAGGTAGCTCTCATTTCTCTCAAGCCTAGCCGCCTAGCCAGTAGATTCTTTCGAGCTGTTCGTAGATCAAAACAGACCCGAACCGTTGCTCGACGGGGGTTGCAAGATGCAGCAGGCGCGGCACCTGAATGACTCCTTGGCCCATGCCGCTGAAGAAGCGCACCGAGACAACGAGGAAGTCGCAAGATCCTTCTGCAGGGACCTCCTTCAGGCCCTCTATGCACCGGTGGAAAGCAAGGTTGAAGGCAAGCGCTACATCTGCGGAGGAGGCTACACCCAGTACATGCAGGATGCTGCAGAAACGCAGCATGAATATGCGGAATGCTGCCAGGACACAAACGTGCCGGAGCATGTTGTTACAGAGATTGGGGAGGAGTTCTGGCGCAGCACAGAAAACATTCGCAAGATTTTGCGAGACAGCGATAAGCAGCTCTCAGAAGCCGAGAAAGAAAAGGCAAAGCAAGAGGAGCAGCTGGTCCAGCTGGAGCTTCGCCGAAAGCTTCTTGGCTTTGGCTTTTTTTGTTGGCCCGGACTTTATGTAGAATTTGCTAGGTCGGTAGGTTCTGATGAGATAGAAACCGCACAAGTCCACTCGGTTCCGCCACTCAGGCAAGAGTGGGAAGAGAACAAAGTGCAACTCCAACGCCAAGAGGCCGAAAACCAAGAGCGCATGAGGACCTGGGAACAGGCCATGGTCAGCATGAAAGACCAGATGCGCGTCCAGCAGGAGCCTAGACTGGCTTCAACGCTTCATTTCAGGAATTCTAGGGTTATCTCAAAGTCTCTATCCTGGCAGTTTCTTGGCGGCATGTGTTTGTGGCTTGTGTTTTGACCGATTAGGGCTCGATGCGTTCGTAGCTTGCAGGCTGCAGCAAAGCGATTTGCTACATTGCCATGCAAACCGTAAATCTACAATCTTAACAAACCTATGACCCGGAAGTCCTGGACTCTGACATCCCGAAAGCCGTAGACGCCATTGTTTCCACAAAGCCCGACGACCCCGAACCTTGAACCGGAGCCCTTTCCATGGCGACAGGAGGACATGCAGAGGGCCAACGAGCAGCGTGAAGCGCAGATGGCGGAGTTCATTCAGCAAGGCCCATTGCATCCGGGAGCTTGACGCTTTAGGGTTTAGAATTCGGGCTCTGGGGCGGCTATGAAACGATAAGTCCAGACATTCACGGACCTTGGCAGCACCGATCCGGCCAGGCCAAGTGGAAGCTCGGAAGCAGATGCAGGAGATCATGAAGATGGCCAGTGAGCAGGCGAACTCTCAGCAAGAGCACATGAGCTCACTGCTCACATCAATGCAGGATTCGCAGCGGACGCAGCAGGAGTCCATGAATCAAGTCATGACAAGTTTGAGGGACTTGGCCAACAGACCACCTCCGAAGATTGAAGTGCAACGATCTTGTGTAGTACAGTAAGTAGGCTTCAGCGTTGCTTGGTGTGCTGCCGCTGTGTTCTGTAGCCTCTCTCTGGTGCATGGGGGTCGTGCTCCAGACGGATGGCGACATCACAGGGGTGCTGCCTGGAGAGGCAGGCTGCAGGCATGCCACAAGATGCATCAGGCCTTCGGAACGAACGGGTAAGTTTGGAAGAGCTGAAGAGCTTTACTTCGGAGTAGGCCTCTTATGATAACTTTCAACATGGCGGCATGGCGGTTGTGAAAAACGACCCCGTGCTGCCAGCACGGTTTCAGAATCGCAACTTGCGATGGCATTGAGATGAAAATGACTGGTTTGCTTGAGACTTTTGTGATAGACGCCTGTAGAGGCATGTGGACTCGATCAGCACATTCGTATGTTTCCGTGGCACCTGCACATCGTTCCTCTTTGATGTAGCATCCAGCGTCTTCTGTTGATGTTGCAACAGCAACGGAACATTCTCTTTTGTTTGCAGGCTTCGCAGACGACTCAGCTCCATGCAGGCGCGAGAGCAGCGTCCGCGCACGGAAAAAGGTCCCCTGTCCAAGTCGTGCACCTGCGATCCAGCGGACGCGTGCATGTGCATGAAGCGCTTGAAGGGGTGTGTTGAGTGTGTTGTGCACTGCGATACTCCGCCGCAGCAGTTGTGGGAAGCGTGCTGTGATTAGAGTGTGATCCGGCATGTCGGCCTGCAAGAGCGTGCCTTTGATCCGGCCGGTGAAGGCACCAGAGCCGCAGTTCGTCGTGGTGCAGGAAGGTGTCGAGTTCCTCCGTGGCTTAGAGGGCCCTCTTTACGTCGTGTCAGTGGTAGGTGTGATGCGGCAGGGAAAGAGCTTTATCCTTGGCCTCCTGGCGGGTGGCCCCGGCATATTTCGTTTAGGCCATCAAACGAAATCCTGCACAGAGGGAGTGGATGTCTTCGCTCGCCCTCATCCCTCTGGACGCGGGCACCTGGTATTCTTGGATGTGGAGGGCCAGGGATCACCCGATCGGAACGACACATACGATGCTGCTCTGACCACCGTCGCCATGCTGCTGTCGTCCATGGTGGTCTACAACTGCCTGTCTGTAGGGACATCCGCAGATGTGGACAAGTTGGAGCTCTTGAGCGGCTTCATGCAGAACATCTTCGATCGCACGTCTGAGGAGCACGGAGAGCGCGAGGCAGCTGGCAGCGACAGGTACTGTCCCGCCTTGATGTGGCTTCTGCGCGACTTCTTCTTGGAGATGGTGGATGCAAGCGAGAGGCCCTGCGATGCTGACACCTACCTGGAGGAAGTGCTCCTGGCACCAGTGTCCGGGGCGAGCAGAGCGGCCAAGGACAAGAACCGGAAGTTGAACGACATCAAGCAGGTCCTGCAGAAACGGTGCTTGCGCACCTTGCCCAGGTGCCCTGCGAGTGTCAGGTTTTTCAGGGTTTAGAGATTGCAGCTGAGTGCTTGCAAGACCTGGTGACCAGCGACTTCCCTAGGTTTTTGTGCATGTTTTTGCTCACCTCCCACTTAGACTTGTCAATTGTTGTTTCAGCAGGATGTTGGGAGCTTCCCATGGCACAGCAAAGCCTTCAGCCAGTCTTAGTTGCTTCTTATTCCGGGGAGCAAAGCAGTTTCAATCCTACTCGAATTCTCCGTGCGCATAGATTGTGGTCCGTTCATCGGTGTCCGTATTATCTTCCAGCCATCACAAAAAGTGGTGAGGTCCTTCCCTTCTAGACTGTGTTTGGTCAAGCCGCTGGCAGGCCCATTGCTGGTGATGACTTTCGGGATCTACAAGAGTGCGGGCTTCAATCACCGCCGTTGCTTCCGGAGTTTGTGCAGAAAGCAGAGAGGCTTCTGAGCGAAGTTACACACCTGCAAATACCCAAGCGGCTTGACTGCTACACTGTTCAGCAAACTCCACTGTCTAGACCCGTCGGCCTGTGTGGTCTTAATCCACCAGTCCGAAGCATTGTCTCCATGTCGACATGTCTCAGCATCTTGCGCCTCCTATACGTGATCTGAGATGTTGCTGCACCAATCCTGCTGTAGCTGTTGTTGAGTTCATGCAGCAGCTGAGGCAGCACAACGGCAGGTGTGTTTCTGGAGCGATGCTAGCAGCACTCACGGAAGAGCTCGTGTCCTCTATTGATGTGAAAGGGGTTCCAGAGCTGCTGACATCCTGGCAGCAAGTATGCAAACAGGAGACGCTCCGCGCATTCCAACAGGCCGTCAGAATGTACGATGCCGAGTGGGGCACCGGGTCACTCCCTATCGATGATGCTGCGGAGATCCACAAGAAGGCTTTGGGCAGGAGCTTGCAGGCCAGGTCTTCTTGGCATAGCTTAGGGTTCCTTTGAACGACTACGGATCCGACTATTAAGGCTGAGGGTCTGTCTTAGAATCCCAATTTGAAATTCCCAGGTCTACCGGTCGATTGTTCTTGGTTCCGGTTGCATCGACGAGCTCATGCAGGAGATTGACCGGAAGCTTGAAAGCTGGCTGACGGCGAACGATGCTGCCGCTGATGCGCTTTGCAGCCGCAGCCTGAAGGAGCACCTCCGCACGGTCGCACAAGCCCAAGATGCAGGGGACTCTTGGCTTTGACGAAGGATCGCGTGTGTTATTCAGAGTTTCCAGCCTGGATGCCATCACACAAAGCAATCCGCTCCTGCACAGAGACCGGCGACCAGATGCACTGGCGGTCGCCAGGCATCCCAGCAGATGCAGAAACCACAACAGCAGCAGCAACAACAACAACAACAGCAACAGTTATGCACCAATTGCAAGTAATTATGTACCAGCAGCAAGAAAAGTGCAGCAAGTGTGTGCGGTAATCCACATGACATGGGGTTGCTGTCACGAAAGTCGTTATGAAAGATGGGCGACTCCTTCACTCCTCTCTTTAAGTTCCCAGGACTTCTGCGTTCCGGGGGGCCTTGCGCTCTACGACCGAAAGACCGCTGCCGCCTTGAAGGAGTTCCGAGGCAGCCCGGAAGCCCGGCGTTTTCCCGTGGTCGCAGGGGCCTGCGTGGCAGACTGGGTGAAGCTCTTTGGATGTCGTTGCGCAGGATTTTTGTTTGGAAGATCTTGGATCGGGGGCGAAGGAACTCTACAAATATAGTTGGAACTACCCGAGACGTTGACTTGATGCCGATTAGTCTCGCTTCAGGTAAAGCACAACCCCAGTCTACTCATGTCAGCACCACGCAAGGACCAACGGGCCAGCGCGAGCAGCCATTTGTAAGGCTGACGAGGCGCTGCATCAGGCAGGGTAACTTGCCAGCTTTGCAGTCTTGAACCGGTTTCAGAGCGGTGTCTGTGGTTTGCACACTCGTTGCTGGCCTCTCCAACCAGCTCAAGCCCACACCCTACAGCTAAAGCTTAGAACTCCGTAAATGCGAGGCCTGAGGCTGGTGCATCTGATGGTTCAAGACACACGCGGGAATCCTAAGCAACTTACAACTTTTACTTATATGGTTTGACTGAGTTGGGCGATAATAGCACCGTTGATGCCAAACAGAGACCGCCCAAACATCCGAATTCTGCGGTTCACCTTCCATACGAAGCCTTGAAGCGTCAGGCGGCGAAGGAAGCAGAACTCCAGTGTCAGCAGCAAGCTCTTTCGGAGCTGCTTGGCATAAAACGCACTATACCCATATGTGCCAAGAGCAGAACGCAAAGGCAGTAATGAATGCGATGCAAACCGAAATCTGATTATCATGAAAGACTTGGGGAAACGGCGCACTGCTGCGCCAATGTGTGGGGTTTGGTGGTGGTTATCTATATAAGGCTCGGTAAGCGGCTGTCGGGGTTTTGGCTCGGGATTTCCGCGCTGCAGGTTGGAGCACGCTGCTTCCATGGAGGCTTTGCAGAAGCAGAAGATCCTTAACGCGAAACGGATGGAAGTCGCAAAGGCCGCTCACGAGGCAGAAGTGAATAGGTTGCGTGGTGAGTCGGAGGCCCTTCGAAGGGAGCACGAGCACCTGGCTGAGAAACGGCGTCAGGAGTTGCAGCTCATGCTTCAACAAGGTCGGAAAGCTGATGCAGAGGCCTTTCAGCAAACCATGGCCTTTTCCCAAGAGTCACAAGCAACCCAGCTCAGGGGCCTACAAGAGGCCATGAGGCAAAGCCAACTTCATCAGCAGGATATGCAAAGGAATCTGTCGGAAAGCCTGCGTGCAATCACAGCCCACCAGGAACATGTTGACGCGGCTGCTTGCCGTGCGGCGGAAGTCGCAAATCAAGAGGCCTCCGGTTCAGCGAGACTTCTGTTACCCATCGCGAACTTTGCCATGAGCTTCTTCCCATCAGCTGCGCCAATGATTGGGGCGGCTGCATCTGCACTGACAGGCAGTTTGGCACCGAGGCATTAAAGCACATGGTCTATAAGAGTCGACAAGGAAATGTGCAGAGGACATCGGCCGTGAGTAGGATGGACACTTTCACATATAGTACACTGCCGTTGAATTCGGGCGTGATTCCCGCAAATTGTTTCTCATTCAACACACCGTATTCTGTCTAGAGCCACAAGTGCCTTCGGAGAAAGTCTGGTGCAAAAGTCGACGGCACGCCTTGAGGATGTGGTCTTCGCACTATGCGTTATGGTTCTGCTAGTAGCGACAACCATCAGCCACCAGAACACCGACGACTCTGGTGCCAATCTTTGTCAGCAGGTGTGCAACGCTGTCAATACGTAGGACAATAAGCATGTATGTTTGTTCCGTTTTCCCCTGCTCACATGTTCGTCCGTGGACGGTTATTCCAAGCTGCTTTCCTCCGGAAGTGTCAACGCTTAGCTGGCGTTTGTCTCGCCAGCAGGGAACCCTAATGCGATTCAAGTTTGAATGTCCAAGCTGTCGAAAGTCATGTTGAGTCATGCCAGACGCCCAAAATGCTTGCAACACAGAGTACATAATTTGCTGCTGCAGCACGTTCGGTGCTCAAAGCCAGCAGCACCATGTGAGATGAAGACAGGCGGCATTGACGGCCCGTTTTGCGTGACATGTAATGGCACCGACGATCTCCAGGTCTTCGAGACGCACGCAGGAGTGTTTCCCCGTAGCCGGGGGTCGTATTTGTTTTGTCAGTGCAGAGCAAGCCTTCAGACCCCCCCAACCCCTAAACCCCACACAAGCAACTGCGGAGGAGCTTTTCATTCTGCCTGCAGTCACGCCACGTGTGGCCCGTGCCTTCGGCAGCTGGTGGTGAGTCAGCTTCCGAAGACCCGCGAGCATTGGCAGCTGGACATCCTTTGCCCCGAGCCTGGCTGCCAGAAGCGACTCCCTCAGCGCTTGGTCCTCAGAGTCAAAGAGGCCGATGACCTTGCGAAGTCCATCGACAGCGACGGCCTTTGGCCAAGCCTCGGGGACGAGGTTTCGCAGCTCTGCCCCCTCTGCCGGAAGGTTGCGGCAGTGCACGTGAACCCGGCTTGTGGCCACGCAGCTTGCGAGAGCTGTTGGCTCGACGGCCTCGAGGAGAAACTCCGCTGGTGTCGCGAGAAAGCCGCCATGGACATCCCGTGTCCGCACCCGGGCTGCGATGAGGGCTGCTACGATGTGCTGCGCCACTTCGAGAGCCCCCTCCTGGAGGAGCTCGAGCTCTACGTCCGGGAGGCCAAGGTGCAGCTCGTCGAGTTCTCTCCGTGGTGCGTGCACGGCCCGCCCGGGGCTCCAGGACCGCTCTGTGCCTTGGCTTCATGTTATGTGTACTTCGGATTCTCAACACACAAAGCTGCACCTGAAGACCCGCTGCAAACGCGATCATCTATATTCAGTGCTCGTTTCGCATCACGAGCTTGGCCTGTTGTCTACCGGAGAGGTCCGGTGTGCGAGTGCCATTCCATGGCAGTGCTGCATTGCCCTTGCGGCCTTGCGGCTTGTTCGTCTTGCTGGAGAGGCTTTGTGCAGCAGCAGCTGGTTTCCTGGATGCAGTCGGGAATTCCTCTGAGATATAATGGTGGGGAGAGAGAGAGAGAGAGAGAGAGAGAGAGAGAGAGAGAGAGAGAGAGAGAGAGAGAGAGAGAGGAGAGAGAGAGAGAGAGAGACAGACAGAGAGACAGAGAGCGGGGGAGGGAAGGAGGAACACCACAAGTTTGTCAACGGGATGTTTCCAGAGCGACCATGTCCCACGAAACAAAAACCCTGGAAGTCGTTGGAAGTCCCAGAGCCTACTATCCCGGTTCCAGCCGTCTGAACTCCCGGGACACCGGACAAGCCAGTCTTCAGATCACGAAAACTCGAAAGCCTAAACGTCAATCTGTAAACATATCCGTAGTGCAAGTGAATTTCCTCTTTGCCGACACCAAATTGGCTATACTTGCAGTATTCACCTTGTCCTGTCATGAAGAGAGGCGAGCCCGAAAGCTTCAGCCCCAAATTCAACGTAAGCTACTGTTGCACACAGAGTTCCACCGAGGCCCCCTTTCAAATCCAAGGCCTCTCCCCAAATTCTGAAACCAAAGCGCCACGTTCCAGAATTCTAACACTTGTCACTATAAGCTATGCCAAACTCGAATGCCTAGACCGCCAAATTGCCAAAGCCCTTGAGCCTTCGGTTCACAAGCACGAGAAACCCCAGATAGAGCTCCCCAGAAAAGCACGCAAGCGCCCACACGCGCACGCAGAAAGCGTCTCTGGTTTGAGGCTCGGTGCAAAGAAGACTTCAAGTTGAGCCCCCTCGGCTGGTACCCTTGGCGTCCGGGATGCAGCTGCCAGGAGAGCCTAGGATCGGCCAGAAGGGCGTAGATGGGTAGATCAGTAGCCTTCGCAGAGTTCTGTGGTCCTTATGCTTTCGTGTCCAGGTTCCTCCGGGGTCCTCGGTTCTCGTCTTCAAGGGTTGAGGCCCTTCGTTTTCGCGCCATAAATAATGCTTGTGTTCGCGTGAGTCGTTGATATATTCTAAAGGCGGGCCAGGAGTGTCGTTGTAGGGTGTCAGGCACGAGGCGTAGGAGGATAGGTGGTGGATGTGCTTTATAGGTCCTTGAGGAGGCTTGCAGGATTTCTGGGGGTTAAAGAGTTTTCTTGAGGGGGGGTGTGCGGCAAAGGGATTTAGAGCCTAGGATGCGTTGAGCGGGGCTCGGGGGTGGGTGAAAGGATGTGTAGGTCTAAAGTGAGTTGAATATGTGGCACTGCGATCGGTTTATGGCTGCTTGTATTTTGGTGGGAACCAAGAGCACAAAGAAGGCTGCGTGTAGTGTAGTAAAAGAAGAAGATAACGATGATCCTATCCAAGTACGCTTACCGTAACAACCCCACATTCCATGAACTACGTGCTGTGGACCACAAAGCACCTTCTGTCTGGCATGTCCTGTACCTGTACCCTAAGCCCCACATGCTGAGCTGCAAACCCACCTGATGGGGTTTAAGGAGATCGGGCGTAGGGAGCTCGATGATTTGGGTTTCGGGCCCTAGCGCACTTCTGTCTCTTCCTCAAGCACACCAGCATCGATAACGGGCGGAGCTTACGTTGCCACATAGATAGATAGGTAGATAGATGGAGAAATTCGTAAGCAGGTAGATAGATAGATTAGATAGGTAGATAGATAGGTAAAAGTGCACATCTACAGCATGAATTCCTTGTCGTGAGATTTAGTTCCGCAAGACCTTGCATAAGCGAATGAAAGCTGTAAGCCCCGCATACGACCTGCTAAATGCCTTGCAAAGCAAGTTCCCGAAGTCCAGAAGCCCTGCAAGCCCCTCATTAAGACATCAAGCCACCGCTGTTTATCTTTTCATTGCTGCCTTCGACTCGGAAGCTTAGCCGGAAGGACTGCGGCCGTTGTGGGGTAAGTTTCTCCGGCAACGGGAAGCCCTAACCTGTAAGCCCTAAACCCTAGGACAACATTAGGTTTAGGGTTTAGAGGATGCGGTGTTTGGGGTTTAAAGTACGGTTTAGGGTCCATGGCCGTCTGAGCCTCAGGAAAGCTTGAGAAACCTTGCACCATGCGCCCTAGATCTGTGACCCGGAGAACCAATTAAACTTCTTCACTTCACTGGTGCCAGAGGAGAGTCCTGTGCTAACTAAAGCATGCACGGCCAAAAACGATCCTGCTGTAGGATCGTAGCCAAACTAGAAAGAATCCAAAGGAAAGCCTGTACAAAACAAAAGGCCTCAGGCAGCCGGATAGGCCCAGAAAGCCCGCAAGGAAAGCGGGGGCGGGGCCGCAGGAGCAGAACCAGCAATGATGGCGCGAGCAGACGAGGCCAAGGAAGCAGAGCTCGCAGCCAGGAAAACAGGACCTGCAGGGGACCAGAAGTCCAAGAAGACGGCAGAAGGAAGCAGCCGCCGCAAGAGGACGAGGCCCTGTTGACTGGGGCGCCCGGGAATCCAGAGGGCGCCAAACCGCAGAACAACCTTACAGGACATGCGGAAGGAGATCAAGGCAGCAGCAATCCCCAACAGAGACCATCTGCCGGAGGTCGCATCGCCAAGAGAAACAGGAGCACCAAGCCCGGAAGACGAGGCGCGACGGAGGACGCCCAGCGACCGGAAGGCCCGGAACTCCCAAGGGGCAAGGAGCTCCAAGGCTGACCACAGGGGCCAGAAGCAATGCCACGATGGGGGAAGCCGAAAGACCCCACCCATGGCGAGAAGCCCAGGCCACCAGGGTGTAGGCAGAGCCCAATCCTTGCCTGAGGCGGCCCCATCGACAAAGGAGAACCAAGAGGGCAAGGAACCCACAAATGTCAAAGATGAGGCAAGGCGAGACAGGGAGGGCTCCGAAACTGGAGCCGTAGCTTGGAGAGATCCAAGTCCGGCAGGAGTTGGAGCAGCGATGGAGGACCCTGTGACGGCCCGTTGCAGGTTGCCGGGGACGAGGTCGGAGAGGGCCGGTGAGCGCTGCGCTGTATCCCACTCCTGTTGCAGCTCCTCCTCATCAGCAGGCAGGCCCAGATCCGCGGCCCGACGCTGTGCTGGGGTGGCATTGCAGGGCCCGCATAGGCGTTGTGGGGGAACACCCCTGTGGGCCGTTCTACCCTTGCGTTTGGTGCCAGACCCATATTGGTAGACAGGCCCTACCGTCACCCGAAGCCCATGCAAGCAGGCCCGGTGGGATTGCAGATGGTATTTCAGCCGATCCGAAGAGTGGAAATCGTGCATACACCAGAGGCAAACAGAGCCGGCCATGTAGGCAGTCACATCGGACAGCACGCCATGTTTGCGATGCATGTGGGCTCTGACCGCGTGCAGGCTCGGGAATATGATGCTGCACACCGGGCATCGATGGGCCTGGGGGGGTCCTAGAATTTGGGTGGCCTTACGGGTAGAGAGGTCATCCCACAGCTGAGCACAGGCAGAGTACCTATGTCCAAACTTGCTGAGTGCCTTGCAGGCGCGAAGGAGGGCACGGCTGTGGGTATGAACAAACAGAACCGTGACGGCGGGGGGAGAGTTAGGGTCCCAAACTTCAAGCGCAACCCCAACCCTCATACATGCTGCAACGAGGGCCTGGCACCAAGGGAGGGCCCTGTTCCACGCCGCGTCGACGATTTCACGCACCGCCGTGGGTGCTTTGCAGAAGAGCTGGACGCAAAGGCGACACTGACTAATGGTAGTAGCCAGGTCAGGAGGAGTAATGTCAGCAAGGAGCCGAAGCAGTGGGGTGGTGAGCTTGTGCCCGACCTGCCACGAGGACAACAGGATCCTGGCCGTGCGATCGAAGAGGCCAGTGAGAGGGGCCGTGGCACGGCCGGAGTCGGCCAGAGACATAGCAAGGGAGGAATACGCGGAGGGCAGGACTCGTCCCGCGACCCACGCCCGTTTAAGTTCCCAGGGCAAGCAATTGCTGCAGAGGAGGGTGCGGGCAAGGGAGGCCGCAGCGGCGCCTCGTTGGGCGGCAAGCTCACAATCGCGGCGGCCCGTATCCCGAGGCAGCTGAGCCACACCCAGATACTTATACTCGGGACACAACCTGATGCTGTCAGAATCAGAGATCTTTAACATGGCATCGCCAGTAAGGAGAACTCCGCGGGCCGCCCGAGCGCCCTCCCCCCGGATGTCAACAAGGGCCTCAGTTTTACCCGCACCCAAATTAACACGAAATCGGAGGAGTCGGAGAGTGTCAAGGATAATGCCGACCAGCACGGGCAGTTGAACAAGAAGATCAGCTGGTCGGTCAAAATCGGCCATAACCGCAAGGTCGTCAGCCCAGCCGATGGGCTTGACCCCTGGGGAGAGGCCGACTTCAGCGCCGGCGCTGGTGTGAACAATGCCCTGGCGGGTGGCAACGCGCTGGATATGCTGAAGACCGACAGCGAAGAGGGCCCCAAAAAGGATATCAGCTAGGCCGTCACCTGGACGAGACCCCCGTGACGCAAGAAAATGTTGGAAGAGCCAGAGAGTGACCAGTGGGAGAGGGCGACGCAGTCACGGAGGAGCGCAACAACGTCCTCTGCAACCCCCAAGGCAGCTAGGGCCCCTTGTTGCTGAAGGCTGAGAACCAGCCCAGCAAGGTGGTGATGCTCTGGCAAGGCAACGTCATCAGGAAAGCCTTCAAAGAGGAGATCCCGGCTGGCCTCATAGTACGCGGCCTGGATATCGACGAAGACCACGGCAACACATCGGCCGGCAGAGATGGAAAGGTCCCAGGCACAACGGAAGGCGGCCAACGCAAAGCCTGTGTGGACACCTTTGCGGCCCCCAAGCTGCATAGGCTCGTATCGCGACAAGACGTGGCCACCCACAGTGGAGCGCAGGTGCGAATGCCAGAGCTTCGCGATGCCGTTCAATAGCGCGATAGAGCGGTAATTGGCAGGAAGAGAGGCAGGGCCCTTCTTGTAAAGGGCACATACAATGGCAGCCTTAAAGGCAAAAGGCTCCCTTCCTTGGAGAGCGATGCGCACGCACAGGGGCCAGAGCCACTGCCCTGCTGAGGCTCCCTGCGCGCGCCAGAGCTCGTTCCGCAGTCCGTCTGGTCCTGGGGCCTTGGCGGCCGCCTGTCGGACACACATTTGTTCCATCTGCAAGAGGGTGGGAACCGCCTCGGCGCACGGGAGGCGCGGTTCATTCATCCATCGCTCAGCGGCGCTGGAGAGCTGCGCTGGGCTGACCAGACTGGCCCCCTCCTGATCACGGAACTGGGCCTCCAACTCACTATCAATGTCGAACCCACCGGCTGCGTGGACAGACCGGCGCTCGTGGGCCTTGCGGGAGGCCCAACGCAGATGCCGGATGGATTCCAGAGGGACTCCAGTAGCTTCCCAGTGTTTGGTCGCCTCCAGAGTAAGTGTGCGGAAATGAGCCAGCTTGTCGGACCTAGCCAGATAGTGGGCCTTCTGCTGAAGCCCCCGAACATGAAGATTACAAGCCTGGAGAAGGAGGCGGGCATGCTGCAGGCCCGTCGGATCAGGGCGCAGGGGTGCAGCATCGGGGTGCCGGTGTGTGCACCCCAGACGCCAGACTTGCAAAAGAAAGCGACGCTGCTGCCACTCCAGATTGGTCCGCAGCCGGGGGAGCTGTTCTCGCGCCTGCCGAACTCGGTCGAGTGCGGCAACAGAGGCCGCTGTGATGTAGGGCTGTCGGATGGGGCGACGTGGAGGGCGAGGAAGGGCCCGGAGCAAGCAGGAGTGCTTGGTCTTAAGAGCCTGCACTTCAGCTCCCACGCTGTCAATGTGCCGGAAGGTGGACGGCAGAGCTCCCCAGAGATCGGCGGCAATGGCCCGTGCCTGGTGCACAGTTGCGCGGGGTGGGGCCGGCGCTTTGGGCCGGATGGCCTGG